CAATACGTTCTGCAATAAACATTGATCCAGTCCGGTCCTCGATTAGTACCCATTTTTTAATTTTGGCCCACTGTGTATTTGAGTTTGACCCCCCTGGTCTACAGAGTGACACAAAAAGACATAAAGGGAACGCCTATGAGAAGTGGCCAAACTACGAATGAATGATACAAAAAGATCACAGATGCAGAACAATTTAAAAGAGACTTCAAACTATCAAAGACACAATATGACCACAAAGAAACGCAAACAACCACAAACAGAGATAAAATGACTGAAACCAAAAAAATTATACAAAATGACTAAAAAGGACTTAATATGACCACGAAGGGATACAACATGACTACAAAGACACTCCAACGTCTACAAAATGAAAACGATTATATTTGCCATTTCGGAGTTACTCTTGGCTATTTACATTTAAATTAAATGGACAAATCTATTTATTTATACTACTTTATGTCAACATTTCAAAGTAATTTATAGTTGTATTATGACTATAAATCAGGATGTCTTGCATGTGTCCTCTCTTCCGTCTTCCCGACCCATGCCTCTGGGTGAGATTACAGAGACTTTATTTCCTGCCTGTGTTTGTGCAGGTGGTTCTGGCGATGCCGTACGACACGCCCATCCCCGGGTACATGAACAACACGGTGAACACCATGAGGCTGTGGTCCGCAAAGGCGCCCAACGACTTCAACCTCAAGGACTGTGAGTGCACAGGGTTTACACTATTTCTGATGTAAACCAACTTTTGCAAAACAGTCATTTCAACAAGAAAGAAGGAAACTGCTGCAACTCAGGCACGTTGCATAGAGACGTCTGTGTTGCTCAAAGGTTCCGTTTTCTTCTCCTGCAGACTTTAATATGCACTTTAGATTATAAGCACCTGAAGGCAGCATCTCCCTAGTCCAATGGGATCTCTCCATTTGATTTTGGATTGGTGTCAAATAAACATTTATGATACTTACACATTTTGTTCAGCATATTAACACCACTGTACGATTTCCGAAGAAAAAGCTAACGTTAGGCTATAAAGGAACTACAGCACGGTCACATGACTTCACGTCACCACCGCTAAGCTAAAGGTGGCTAATGTTGGGCTATAAAGGAACTACAGCACGGTCACATGACTTCACGTCTCCACCGCTAAGCTAAAGGTGGCTAATGTTGGGCTATAAAGGAACTACAGCACGGTCACATGACTTCACGTCTCCACCGCTAAGCTAAAGGTGGCTAATGTTGGGCTATAAAGGAACTACAGCACGGTCACATGACTTCACATCACCACCGCTAAGCTAAAGGTGGCTAATGTTGGGCTATAAAGGAACTACAGCACGGTCACATGACTTCACGTCACCACCGCTAAGCTAAAGGTGGCTAATGTTGGGCTATAAAGGAACTACAGCACGGTCACATGACTTCACGTCTCCACCGCTAAGCTAAAGGTGGCTAATGTTGGGCTATAAAGGAACTACAGCACGGTCACATGACTTCACGTCACCACCGCTAAGCTAAAGGCGGCTAATGTTGATGGCGGCTAATGTTGATGATGTTTAGTCGTCTCATTTAGACAGTTGTTATCAACCAACGTATTTAAAATCACCAGTGGGGTATTTACTGACGTAATTTACCAAAAACACATCCAAAAAACGATTGACATCCAGACCAGGGGACAGGAAGTGATAAAGTGCTGACGTCAGGTTTTAGGACTCATTCCTCCACCACTTTTTGTTGTCAAGGTAACTAAAATGGTCTTCCCTTGTCTGCAGTTAATGTTGGAGATTACATTGAGGCGGTTCTGGACAGAAATCTGGCGGAGAACATCTCCCGTGTTCTTTACCCCAATGATAATGTGAGTTCAATATGTTGATGTATTTGCAGAAATGTGCATAATACAGTACATGTTGAAGTGGTACTACTAAACTCTGTCTGTGTTTTATATATGTTGTAGTTCTTTGAAGGGAAGGAGCTGCGTCTGAAGCAGGAGTATTTTGTGGTGGCGGCGACGCTGCAGGACATCATCCGACGCTTCAAGACCACGAAGAAGGGATCGCCTGAACGGACTTCCTTCGAGAGCTTCCCCGACAAAGTAAGCTGCAAAATCATTATCAGTTAAATATCTGCCCACAATTTCCCTCATTCTATTTACATTTTAATTAGTGCAACTGTTAACCACATTTTTATAATATATACAGTATCCTATGTGTATACATTATATTGTTTATTCTATAGATACTATATATTTAGTTTTGCCTTGTCACCATGCTGCTGCTGTAACAAAAACAATTACCAATTAAAACATCATAAAGTTTATCTAATCTAATTTACTCTAATCTAAAGTGTGAGAGGTGTGCTGGAGGAAAGTGCACTCTTGAAAACAATGAAAGTCCCACACACTGTTGAAAAAACATACTGATGAAATATTTATTTACACAACTCCTGCACCACCCCGGCCAACTGAAGGTTGTGCAATTGAGTTTTTTTCAGTGTGAGAAACTCTGCAGATATAACGGTGTGATATTGTGAAAAGGTGTGGCTCATCTTATGCAATTTTTGACTTTAATTCAAAAGGAAGATCAGATATTAACCCTTAAATGGGCAATCAGTATTTTGGAAATTGTAATGATTGCTATTTTCTACATTAAAGCCATTTTACACTGAAACTACACCAATATTACACATGAATACACCCCTATTGCACCGTTACCACACCAGGATTACACCTATATTACACTGTTATTACACCCATGTAGCACCAATATTACTCCCATAATACACTGTTATTAGACTGTAATGAAACAGTTATTACACCCATTTTACGCATGGAAACACCCTGTAAATGAATGTATCCCCCAGGAAACGGAAACCATTTAAGGTCCCACGGCAGCTCCTTTACTCTTCACTTATAGGAGGTAAAATAAATAAAAAGGTTATTATGATTATTTTGTGTTTTCCAGGTCGCTGTCCAGCTGAACGACACTCATCCGGCCATGGCCATCCCTGAGCTCATGAGGATCTTTGTGGACATCGAGAAGCTGGACTGGGACACGGTGAGTCAGATTTGAATTTTTTGTTGAGGGTTACTCAAGTGAAACCGGATGACATCACAGCAAATAACCAGAAAGGTTAAAACAACATGATGACAGAATGATTATTCCTGTGTTGCATAATGTTTAATAACATATTCATGTGGGAAGTCAGGAAGGTTAGGAAATACCATCCAGACAAGACAAGAAAAGGAAGTTTGTTGATGCAACATTTGGGATGTCAAATAGAAATCAGGAAAGCCGGAAATGTTTAGATAAAGCTGCATGCAGTTCCAGACGCAGACGTAAGAGTGAAAAAAATATAAAAAATAATAATATATCTTAAAAAGATAAGTCAATAAATAAGTGCATTTGATAAATGTGAAAATATTGAATTATTAAATAAAACATGTGGAGTTATAAGACTTTATTTATTTCACCCAGAAAATATGCATTATTTTATGGTTTTGAACGTACAGTAAATTATTCTATTTTGGTTTTGAAATATTTCATGTAATAACAGTTTATTTTATTTATTGCGTTTCTCAATTTAAATGTTATGTATCCCCCTTGATATTTCCACATTTGTATTAACTGCTTCATCCTGTTTTACGGCACTCTTATGACTCCATACATGCAAAGTTAAGGTGTATTATTTAATAAGTGTAAACTGATTTCTGCAGGCATGGAGCCTGACCCAGCGGACCTTCGCCTACACCAACCACACGGTGCTGCCCGAGGCTCTGGAGCGCTGGCCCGTGGAGCTGCTGGAGAAGCTGCTGCCCCGACATCTGCAGATCATCTACCGCATCAACCAGCTGCACCTCGACGTACGAACACAACAATGGCATGCTTTTAAAGAAAACCAAATTTACATTGCTTTTATTTTGAAAATCACTGAATTTGATGTCTGCATCAAGTGGACAGATTGTAAATGTAACAACATATGCAAACAGAGAGAGATTTAGTGTGTGTGTGTGTGTGTGTGTGTGTGTGTGTGTGTGTGTGTGTGTGTGTGTGTGTGTGTGTGTGTGTCGCAGAGGATTGCCACCCTGTACCCAGAAAACATGAACAAACTGAGGAAGATGTCTCTGATCGAAGAGGACGGCTGTAAGAGGGTGAACATGGCGCACCTGTGCATCGTGGGATCGCACGCCGTCAACGGAGTCGCCGAGATACACTCCAACATCATCAAGACGGACGTGTAAGACAGACACACACACACTCTTGAAAACACATGTAGCTTACAGACACTCATGTTTAAAAATACTCAAAAAAAAAGTAGTACTGACTAAACTTAAGGAAGTCTGGGCTTTGAAATGTACTGAAGTAAAAAGTACCCATAACTTTGTGTCCTTGGGCAAGAAGTTACATTTGCTGTATTCACCGTTACATGTCTGATATGTGTAATATGTATATGTGAAGCGTTTTTAGCATTCGGAAAAGTGCTCTAATAAATGTAATGAAACGTAGATTAAAACTAAAGTAACCAGCCTGTTTTGAAAATGTAGAAAGTACAGGTATTTGTGTTCAAAATGTAAGAAGTAAAAAGTCGTCAGAAAAATAAGTAGTGGAGGTTAGTACTGATACCAGAAACATGTATTTAAGTACAGTAAGGAAGTATTTGTACTCCACTACTTCCCACCTCTGAATCTAAGTGTAGCTAACTTTAAGATGCAAAACCTGTATTAGCAAATTCACGAAAGATGGGTTTAGGAAAAATGAAGAATGTTTCTGAAGTTTAATCATCATAGAAATAGATTATGGTGTCGTCTTCAAACAATGCAACCCCAACTGTCAGGGAATCATTGTCCATACATGTTTACCTTTCGCCCTCCGACGCAGCTGACCAGCCTTGAGCAGCCGTTATCTCCCTTAAGGAGGGGCTGCCCTAGCATAGTTGATGTTGCCAGTTTGTGACCGGGCAACTAGTTATAGTTATTGTTGTGGGACACCTGGAGCACATCCTTCTCTGGGTGGAGATGACCTCGAGCCATAAGCAACAACAACTGTGATTCAGTGTCCTCAGCTGTTTAGTCTATCTATTGAAGAATGTTGATTATTACACTCTGAACTAGTTAAAACCTGGAGCTACAGGTGGGCTCTTCAGAATTTATTGTGGCGTCTCAACCGTGTGGTCAGACCCGGGACATGTTTTGTGAATTCTCCGGCCGAAGCTCCAAATAAACCGTCAGTGTTTCCCATCAAAGCTCCAGCTCTCCATCGTGTCTCTCTGAGTCCTGACTCCAATTGCTTCAGAAGTTTCCCCCACACCAATTATTGATCTACATTTTAATAAGAGAGGACCCAATATAGATACTTGTGGGACACCATTTTTTATATTTAAAAATGGTCTCCAATAAGTCGCAAGTGTCCCTATTTATACAAAACGATGAAACACAGTAAGCAACCAGCCTTCCTGTTTCTCTCCCACAGTTTCCGTGACTTCAGTGAAATGGAGCCGCAGAAGTTCCAGAACAAAACGAACGGCATCACGCCGCGCCGCTGGCTTCTGCTCTGCAACCCCGGGCTGGCCGAGCTCATCGCTGAGGTCTGTTTGAAAAATAAACATTCAAAAGATTCAACATGTATATTTTCTACTTCTTGTTTATTTCTTTTAATTGTTATTGTACAATGCCATGTCTTTTTATGCTGCTGCTGCAACACAAACATTTCCCAAATTGGAATCAATAAAGTATTTCTTATCTTTGGGTGCCAGGAGTCGAGGCACCTATCTTTTGATTGAATCTAGTACTAATGAAGTACTGAACAATGTTTGAAATATATAGAGAAATAATAATTCATAAGTACAAAAAAATAGACTGATATCAAAAGTATAAAAAATACATGTGGAAATCAGAAAATATAAAAATATTATAATAAGAATTTTAATTTATTTTCTTATATATTTAAAGAGTTTATATCTTCATTTTTTTAAATACACACTTTGATTGAAATAACCTTTTTGCATTTTGTTTATCTTTTCAATTTTTTTCTTTATAGATTTTGTATGTTAATTAATTTGTAACCTTTTTTATTGCTCCCAATAATTTTCTTTGAGAGGCCAAGCTGTCAATCAACTGTATATACTTTTACATTTGTCTATGTATTCCTCTTTATACAGAAAAAGCATTGCCTCCTCCTGAGTCTTTTGTAGTAATGACAGTAATAAATATGAGGTGGAGTATATTAAACACTTATTATTGTGATGTCTAATTTGTTTTCAGGTGATTGGGGAGGATTATGTGAAGGACCTCTATCAGCTGAAGAAGCTCTTGGAGTTTGTTGATGATGCCGCTCTGATCCGGGACATCTCCAGAGTCAAACAGGTAACCGAGCACTTTTATTTAAATACTGCACTAAATTGAAAACCTACTTTATTCAACCTCCTTTCAAAGGGATTTTAAATAATAACCAAACCACACAATAGGTTCATTTCTAAACATCATTGTCAAAGATCAAACCAGTAGCAACAAAAAATGTTTGGCTTTCAAATGAGTTGTTCCAGTTCCAGAGCCACATTTAAACTTCTTAGTTGCATTGCAAAGAGTTTCAATCATCCAATATTCAAAGTATTTATTTGATCAGACTGTACAGAAAGTGTCCTAAAAAAGGAACACTTCAGTACTGTGTACATAAGCCTAATCAAGATGGTGCATTAATAGATTTAGAAGCTGTTTCTGATATGAAAGTAGTGTAGCTGTGTTGATAAATTGCAGAAATACCTCTTGGTGGTTCCTCTTCTTTTGTTGGTCTACTGTTTGCATGATGTTGCCATACACGCAGAGGGCAGGCTTGGTTGCACCATGAAAACATGCATTTCAACAGTGCCTTCCTGTAGCGGTCTCATTCTGCACACCATTGCATTCATAGACATCACACTCATCATTGCATCTTGTAGATTTAATGTCAGTACGAGTCAGGACAGGACTCTGACTCAAGTTGTTTCACCTCAGTCATCAACTGCCAAGTCACGTACTTCTGCTTCTCTCCCAGGACAACAAGGTGAAGTTCGCTCAGTACCTGGAGAAGGAGTACCGGGTGAAGATCAACCCGTCCTCCATGTTTGACGTCCACGTGAAGAGGATCCACGAGTACAAGCGGCAGCTGCTCAACTGCCTGCACATCATCGCCATGTACAACCGTACGTGCAGAAACACTCAGCACCAGGTTTCACAAGCGTTAATAACACCCAGTCTGAGCCCTGCTCTAAAACAAGTCAAAACAGAGAGGGAGATGCATCTGACTTTAGATCAAGTGTGGGAATTTTCCATGCACTGGGACAAACAGGAAATCATTATTACGCAACATGCAATTTACTTTATTGCTCACTTTCCCTTAAACAAAATACTTTCCTTACTTGGGAATATTCCCCTTAATAATGTCTACAGTGCATTCATTAAGAACGGCCTGTCAGTGTCCATACCTTGCATAAAAGAACAGCAAAATATAACATAAGGACAGGTCTTGCTTGCAACAATGCTTAAGCTACATGTCGACATTAGCATGCTGAATTAATAATAATAGTACAGTTTCCGTGCAGTCATCTGAATGTGACAAACAGGAAATCTGTTTTTTAATGCAGAATTTCCTTGCAACCAAAAACGTTCGTTACTTGGAATACTCCGAGCTATTATTGCAGAGCTCTCAAGTGTCACGCATTTGGCGTGAGACACACGCATTTCACTCCGCTCACACGCCACACCTTGTATTTCTCACGCAGAGATTTCTTTCCAGGGTACCGCCCACCAAGTTGCGCCGAAATTTTGTACTAGGCTTGTTTGAGACGCGTGCACTCCACTAGCACCCCCCCCGTTGACATTCGCGATACAGAGGGCTTCATACTCCACTAGCAGCCCCCCCACCCNGGACAAAAGTTTACAGTCTTGCTACCAGTGGTGCTGTGAGCTAAATGCTAGTATTGGCATGCTAACACCGCCTTAGATAAGCATGCTAATGTGTGCTGATAGCAAACCACACAAGGTACAGTTAAGGATTGTTATGTCGTTAATTAAGAATTTTGTCATATGTTGTTCTACCTGATGATTTATCTATTATCTAATATATCATTCCAATAACTTGTATATAGACTCGTATTAGACTATTCCACTTTTTTTCTCACTTTAAAAAAAAAATAAAACTATTTTTCTTTTTGTATTACTTTTAATATAATATACTTAAATATTGTTTTAATATTGTCTGCTTATCTGTATTATTGTGTTGCATTGTTGGAGAAGCCTGTGACCTAAGATTTTCAACGACATAATTACTCTGTAGCTTTTAGTTTGACAATAAAGAACCTTGAACCTTGATGTAGCTAAATAAAAACGGTCTGAATATAAGAATATAAAAATCATTAGGACAAAAGTTTAAAGTCTTGCTACCAGTGGTGCTTTGAGCTAAATGCTAGTATTGGCATGCTAACACCGTCTTAGATAAGCATGCTAATGTGTGCTAATAGCAAACCACACAAGGTACAGTTAAGGATTGTTATGTCGTTAATTAAGAATTTTGTCATATGTTGTTCTCCCTGATGAGCTAAATAAAAATGGTCTGTATCTGCAAGTGGCTTTTAATTATAACAGTAGATAACATGTTATTCTTCTGCTGCAGGAGACACTCAATGATATTCTGCAATTAAGTAGAAAAAAAGACATGTGGTTATCGGACAAATGTGTTGAAATATAGCAACAAAAATCCTAAATTGATTATTGAATTCCTAACCCATTGCCTAATTTGCAAAGAGGTCTCACTTTAATGAGTTTATGTTTCTATATATTCACTGTTAAATGTTTCTGTCTCTTAAGGCATCAGAATGAAGCCTGCTGCCCTATTTGTCCCGCGGACCGTGATCATCGGGGGGAAGGTATCCCAGCATGCACCTCAAATGTTGAAAAGTAAACAGAGGTGTGATGGTTCAGAGTAACAGTGAGTGTCTCCCCCTCCTCCCCTGCAGGCGGCCCCCGGGTACCACATGGCGAAGATGATCATCCGCCTCATCACGTCGGTGGCGGAGGTCGTGAACAACGACCCGGTGGTGGGGAGCAAGCTGAAGGTCATCTTCCTGGAGAACTACCGCGTGTCTCTGGCTGAGAAAGGTAACCAAACACAACTTTATTATTATTATTAAAACATGCACAAGGTTGGTTTTAAATATCATTTTTTATAATTATTTGTATGATTTAATATGATCCCAAAATAATAAGAAAAACTTGGAATCTGTTAATTCGACTTAAACTCGTTTTTCAACTGACGTTTTTTTCCCTCAAAAGCATTTTATAACTTTTTTTGTGCTATATGATTTTATTAAGTTCATACATTTATTCTTATGATTAATTATATTATTATTATAACACTTAAACACAAACGTGCACGGGCTAAATTCACATTTGAAGGCTTACATTTAAAAGAAACCCCCAATTTATATATCAGCCTCAGATCCCATATTTTTTTACTTATTTTTACAAAGCATTTCATTCAACAAGTACTATGAGGATGTAAAGAGAATTTCAGCAAAATAAGTATTCATTTTGAGAAAGTTATTTTATTATATGACATGTTTTTGGAGAAGACCACCCACCCTCCTTTAATGTGAATGTATCTTCTCTTCTTAATCTGAAACACTAAATCCCCTCTGTCTGACATTGAGTTCCTGCAGGTCAAACCTAATAAATAACACTTTAATTCTAATAATATTTTCCGGTCTTCCTCGTGTAGTGTAGATATTCAATTGCTCTTTTTACTGCACTTTTGTACTATTATGCTGCTGTGTTTATTGTATTGTTGTAAATTTCCTTGGGGATAGATGAAGTCTTATCTTATCTTATCTCCGCAGTGATCCCGGCCACCGACCTGTCGCAGCAGATCTCCACGGCGGGCACCGAGGCGTCGGGCACCGGGAACATGAAGTTCATGCTGAACGGCGCTCTGACCATCGGCACCATGGACGGAGCCAACGTGGAGATGGCGGAGGAGGCGGGCGAGGAGAACCTGTTCATCTTCGGCATGAGGGTGCAGGACGTGGCCGACATGGACCAGAAGGGGTGACTGGTTTTATCAAATAATTGTATACGGTCAAAAGAAATATGTTTGCACATTTTATATACTCACATTTTTACCATAATTTTTTTATTTAAGTATCTTTTTTAACAGTAGTTTTTTTGCACATATTAAACTTGCCCTCTACGTCATTGCACTTTAAAAATAAGGAATATCATTTTTATTTTAAAAAAGATTGCAGTTTCTTTGCACACACTTTATCTTATAACATTTTGTTATTTATTTTATTTTAATAACAGTACTTTTTGCACCTAATAGCTCTTCCTTATTCAATTTAAATCCATAGATTTTTTTAAAATTAATTGTTATTCATAGTATCTTTTTATTTTACCTTTATACTGCAGCTATTTTTCACTCTTGTTAAAAGTGACACACTGGTGCAGTTAAATGCAGAACACATGTGGGATGAAGTGCATGTCGTTATCGATACTAACTTGTGTTATGATTATGTTCAGGTACGATGCGATGTCGTACTACAAGAGGATCCCGGAGCTGAAGCAGGTGATGGATCAAATCACCAGCGGGTTCTTCTGCCCCAAAAACCCAGACCTGTTCAAAGATGTCACCGACATGCTCTTCAAATACGACCGGTGAGAAACACTCAGAAATATGTCCTTTCATTTGAGTTCCTAGAATCTTGTGATGAACCCTTTTAGACTTAATGTATTTATTCCCTCTGTGTCTCTCCTCAGGTTCAAGGTGTTTGCAGACTTTGAGGACTACATGAAGGCTCAGGAGAAAGTCAGCAAACTGTACCAGGTAACATTTACCTCTGACACACACCTGTCTTTTAGAAAGCATAAAACAATACAATATGGGAATATAGAACAAGTAACAAGTTTAGAATGATCAAGCAGGAAGCAAAAAATTAAGATTAAGATAAATCAAACAAAAATTGTAATTTCATTCTTAAAAATACTTTCTTAATAAAAAATAAATTCATTTTATAACAACATTTTAATTTTTAAAACGTTATTACAAAAGGCAGCATAACATTTAAAAAATAGTAGCAAGATTAAAATGTTCAATCAGGAAGAAAAATAATTGTAATTAAAAAATTATATTTAATTATTTATAACATTTTATTTTCTACATGTAATAATTATTGATTATTTTTATGAATTTTTTTTTGTGTGTGTCCGTAACAGAACCCGAAGGAGTGGACGAAGATGGTGATCCGAAACATCGCAGCCACAGGGAAGTTCTCCAGCGACCGCACCATAAAGGAGTACGCCACCGAGGTGTGGGGGGTGCAGCCCACCGACCTGAAGATCCCCTCTCCAAACGAGCCGCGGGAGGCCGTGGTGGAAAAGGCCAAAGCTCTGAGGAAGATGTGAGGCCGTCTCTGCGTTTAGACATTATTCACTTTTCTGTCTTTAAATCTGTTATTCAATTTCTCACTAATCCTCTTCCAATAACTGTGGGTGTTTTTAAAAATCTCATCTTGTTATTGTTAAAGCACAGAAACTACGGAAGCCCTGAAGGGCAAGTGAGAATTTTCTTTTTTGCTGATTTAAATGTTTTCTCTTGTCTTTTATGACTGAAGTGCTGGTGAAATAAAAATAAACAATAGTCCATCATTTGTTATTATTTTCATAAGTTAAAAAGGTGGGGTAAAAACTTTTTTTACATCCGTGAAAATAGGATTTTTGTTTTGTGTCGGTAAGTTGTCCTGAATAAATTAAATGTTTTCTTTCTCATTAGTTTATTTTTTTGCAATGATTTAATTTTACAAGACTAATTAAATTTCAAACTAATATTTCTCTCCTCTTTGAAAACCGTAGAAGAAATTCAATGCCTTAGTCCTATTGAGTGCATGGGGTAGTGCTGCCATCTGGTGGGTGGAATGAGTATTACAACAACAAAATGTTCTTTAAGTGTTAAATGCAAAACATAAAAAACCTGCCAGCATTTTTTTTTTCCATCTGTTACACAAAAAGAAAATACATCTGTTTTTAGATCTAACAGGGAATGAAACACTTAGATAACAGATAACCAGTTTTATTTCTTGCTTGCCTCTCAGGGCTTCTGTACATTCAAAGCACTTGCATTAAATAGAAATGTCTGTTACAGTCCTTAAAACATCAACACATACAGTGGAATAAGAGCGGGGCTAAATAACTTAAACAGAGCAGCAGAATAAACTGGATTTAAATTACATTCCTGCGCATTCAATGAGCGACAAAGCCTCAGTGTGCTGCAGGCAGAACAAACATGCATTTACATCTGTATCGTTTAAGGAAAAAAACTTCATTTATGATTTAAAGTGCTTTTTCTCAGTGTTAAACAAACATGTTTTCTGATTTAAAGAGTCCTCTCCTGCTGATGTTCAGGTGTATATCAGTATGTAGTGTCTCTACTTTAAAGAGTCCTCTCCTGCTGATGTTCAGGTGTATATCAGTATGTAGTGTCTCTACTTTAAAGAGTCCTCTCCTGCTGATGTTCAGGTGTATCCTCCTGCTGATGTTCAGGTGTATATCAGTATGTAGTGTCTCTACTTTAAAGAGTCCTCTCCTGCTGATGTTCAGGTGTATATCAGTATGTAGTGTCTCTACTTTAAAGAGTCCTCTCCTGCTGATGTTCAGGTGTATATCAGTATGTAGTGTCTCTACTGGGATATGTCTCCATGCTTTAACGTTCAAAAAGCTCTTAATTGTTCTCATGTTGCCTTAGCAATTGGTTAGCTGGCCGGCTCTGTTGTGATTGGCCAACTACTTAGAGATGTCCCGCCCCTTAGCCTATCACGTACAATGTGTTGGAGCGCTAGCCAATAGGAGTGCGAGTGTAGGATCACTGCGAAACACTTCACTGGGATTTAGCTTTTTGTTTTACTAAGCTGTAGTGCTGTTGTCCAACATTGCACTCAAAGAAGATGAAGGGGTTTTCACAGCTACAGCACAATAACATAAATTGCTTTGGTGAGTCAGATCCAGAAAGAAATTGGAAAAGAAGCAATAAGTGTTACATCTTTGGAAACATTTTGTATGTGTTGTTGCAGTTTAATTTGAAGTGGCATCTCTGATTCATCACAGAAAATGCTTAATATCCTTCAGGACAAGTGCATTGATTGTGTACTGAAATCAACAACAGTACACTGTGACAGTGATGATCGGGTAAACATAAATGCAAAGTATGGAATTGGATTTTTCCGCAATCTAGTCACATTAACAGAAGGCATTTTATTATCGAGGCTAGGTTTAGAGTGGAGGTTTAAAACCTTGCTCACAGCTGACATTTTGGAATATGCAGAAAAAGCCCAGGTGTAATTGATTACATTAAATCACCTGCATTTAATCCAGGTTATTTTCAGAGTATTGTGAGGCCGGCTTCCTGGCATGTCGACACCTGGTGGAGCTGAGCCTCTGTTAATGACATTGGTTTCACCTTTGCTTCACCCGCTATGATTAGTGAAAATGACTGCATGTGGAAAAGGTGTATTGTGCTCACTGTCTGTCACTGTGGAATAAGAAGAGACTGAAATAAAACAGAGCCATCGTTAATGTTATTAGTAACACCTGTGACAAGTTAAAAGGAATAAAATATATTTATACAATCCTACAACCTGACTAACACGACAGGGGAATATAAATCAGAATACACACTGACATTAGTTTATCAGCGTGGTTTAATTTCAGTCTGAATGCAAATTGGATCTGAAGCCAACGGATAATATTGGACAGAGACAAATCCTGTAGCAAACACATCAATGAAAACCAGAATACAAAATAAATATGCACATCTATGTATGAAAGCCCACAATCAATCAATCAATCAATCAATCAATCAATCAATCAATCACACTTATTTTTGTAGCACTTTTCCTATTCAAAAGGTAACACAAAATGCTTAAGAAACCAACAAATTAAAACAATAAAAAAGTGATTAATTAATAAACACAGGACTGAATAAAAAAAAAATAAAAAAAAAATAAAACATGAATAGAATTAGAATAAAATATTATTAAGCAAAACTAATAATAATAAAATAATAGTAAATAGATCAAAAACAAATTCAAAGTGTGTCTTGAGGCACAAACACAAGTTCATTCAAAAATACCCAATACAAATATATAATGTATGTATGTGAGGTATTGTTAAAGTGACATTTATGACACCATATCCCCTTGATGATGGATGCTAATGATGCTAATGATGCTAACGATGCTAACGATGCTAACGATGCAGGGACGTTTTACCTTTAAGGAGGCTTTCAAAATATCATCATCCATATGTCGAGGCGTCCGTGTCGCTGCCTGTCCTCTAAAATGTTTTGTTCTCAGTTCTTACTTTTGCAGCGTGTGATGTCAAATGGTGTCAAAGACTTTGTTGACATGTCATGGAGTGCTTTTGGTGCCTTATTTCAAGACCTGCCAATTAAAGTATTTCATTCTCATCGTTAGTAAATATTAATCTTAGTTTCAGACGTGCATTCTTACAGTCAGCTCGACCACACGCTAACCGAAACACTAATGATAATTATCTTAAATAGCAGAGGTGTCATTGCTTGTGATAAGCGTACATTTAATTATTTGTTTGCATCATTCCTGTATTTGAGTTTCTGGACTTTTAGCAAACTTGAATTGCCCAATTGGACGTTATTTCTTTGCTTGTTACAATAATATTTGATGAGCTTTAAAAACGTTGGAGATACTTTTGCAGTGTATTTGTTATGTGGGCGCTGGAGAACAAAACAAACACAAACAAAGACAGTCCCAAGGTTTTAAAGACAACACTCAAGTGGGTTTCATTTGTGCCATTTGGTGACCTCAGCTTCCTATTCCAACGCTTTAACTCAGGAACAAAGCCTAACAAGTCAGCAGGTCACTAAAAACAGAGACAAACCTTTCAGAATCTTTTGTTAACTTCTCTCCACGCCTTCGTGACCTGAGCCGACTGAAACTTGGACAGGAGGAACCCCGTGTCACAGCAAGTGGAGGGGAAGGAGATAATTAAGAGAATAGAGGCTTAACGTGGTGACACTGTATCTGTGTGTCATGCTCATTAAGAGCACTGTGGAAGTGAGGATGTTCAATTTAGTCACTGCTGTGCGCTCAGAGGGTGACAAAAAACACCTAGAGGCGACAGAGAGCACCATACGATATGCACCACTCTCTAAAGCCTCCTTATTGTGTCTCAAAAACTGCTTTAAACCTCTATTTCATGATGTCTAGCAGTGCACAGTATGTAAAGCTATTGCATCTCCCTTTATTTTGCATGTGCTGCTACAAACTATAAGATCGAAACACATCAGAGCGTTGCTTCATAAAGCTCGGAGGTGTGAATCCAGGAGTGAAGAAGAGACATTGGTGAGGGAGGGTTTTCAAGACTTGCCTTCTAATTAGCACCGTAGTCATTCATTACAAGTGTGCCTGCATGTGTGTGTGTGTGTGTAGCATGCAAACAGCACAGTGTGAATGTCTCGCAAATGTACAAAGCAGCAGAGAGCAGGGGATAAATATAAACATGCGCCTCGAGGAAGATGGATTGCTGGGGATGGAAGTGTGAAAACACGTGCTCCGCTGCACAAAGACACATTCATACGGAGCGTTTCACATCAAATGGTAGCAGTTCAAAAGTTTTACAACAACATGCTGTTCTCAAAGAGGACATATTCTGCTGATGTTCAGGTGTATATCAGTATGTAGTGTCTCTACTTTAAAGAGTCCTCTCCTGCTGATGTTCAGGTGTATATCAGTATGTAGTGTCTCTACTTTAAAGAGTCCTCTCCTGCTGATGTTCAGGTGTATATCAGTATGGTAGTGTCTCTGCATGTGTGTGTGTGTCTCTACTTTAAGTGTCTCTACTTTAAAGAGTCCTCTCCTCCTGATGTTCAGGTGTATTTCAGTATGTAGTATCTCTACTTTAAAGAGTCCTCTCCTGCTGATGTTCAGGTGTATATCAGTATGTAGTGTCTCTACTTTAAAGAGTCCTCTACTGCTGATGTTCAGGTGTATATCAGTATGTAGTGTCTCTACTTTAAAGAGTCCTCTCCTCCTGATGTTCAGGTGTATATCAGTATGTAGTGTCTCTACTTTAAAGAGTCCTCTCCTGCTGATGTTCAGGTGTATATCAGTATGTAGTGTCTCTACTTTAAAGAGTCCTCTCCTGCTGATGTTCAGGTGTATATCAGTATGTAGTGTCTCTACTTTAAAGAGTCCTCTCCTGCTGATGTTCAGGTGTATATCAGTATGTAGTGTCTCTACTTTAAAGAGTCCTCTCCTGCTGATGTTCAGGTGTATATCAGTATGTAGTGTCTCTACTTTAAAGAGTCCTCTCCTGCTGATGTTCAGGTGTATATCAGTATGTAGTGTCTCTACTTTAAACAGTCCTCTCCTGCTGATGTGTTGAAGCGCTAGCCTAGTGCTAGTTTTCTTTCAAAAATGTCCCTAATTTGGATCAATAAAGCACATCTTATCTTTTAAAGTACATTTGCGCCAATAGAAGCGCGAGTGTTACATAGTGATGTCACTATGATCCGGAAGTAAGGGAACGGAAAAATACTTTATTGGACTCCATAGAGGTCA